GAAGAAGCCCTGACAGACCTCACAGATATTTGATATCATATGAAAAGGGAATAATTCTTCTTTATACTCCCGCCGAAGGGTGAATGTGTCACGTCGACGTATCTTTACGTTCACACCCCCAAACACTTCCTGCTGTGTTTTCAAGGTGTGACATCATTCTCACCTACTTAAACTTTGCACGCCTCGACTCATCTGCTGCCCTCAGAGCAGTGAATGTCACCCGACAGACAGTCCTCTTTAATTAAACCCAGAGGGAAATGTATTAATTACTGCACAGCGCCGGTGACTGCGGGTGAAGTGTCTTGGGTCTGCATATGATTAGAATGCTAATTATGATGCGCTATGGGAAGATTCCATCATATTCAACTGTCCTGATGATTCATTCATATTTTCAACATGAGCTGATTAGAGTTTGGGTTTTAATGGCTTTGCTAGACTTTTCACACTTTTGACTTGTTGCTCTGCTGCTTACTCATTCCAAATCAAACGGTGCTGGATTTCTTTGCTTTAACACAACAGTTAGTTCATATCATAAAATTACTGTAAAGGGTATAGAGAACATTTGGTTTATTTAAAAAAAGATATATTATTTACTTATTGGAAATATGAATAACTGTTCAATAATTGCAAAATGCGACTCCTGTAAGATTTATCTCCTTAGATTTACTGAATTAAAATTGTAAAAAAAAAAAAAAAAAAGAAATACAATGGAAATTGATAATATTTAAATAATAAAATAAATAAATAAATATGATCGTATTAAAATTTGTATTTTTCATTTTTGTAATAAATAATCATTTAAAATAAAAACTTATAATAAATTGAATATTAACAAATTCATTATATATTATATTATATGTTATATTATATGTTATATTATATTATATTATATTATATTATATTATATTATATTATATTATTATATTATATTATATTATATTATATTATATTATATTATATTATATTATATTATATTATATTATATTATATTATATTATATTATATTATAAAAATGTCCTCTACAATTACAGTACCATTTGTCTCTTTAAACAGATTAGAGACAGCCGGTCACTCCTCTGTAAAGTCCTATTCCTCTGGTAGTCTTTGACCTTCCATTCAAACTAGTGTAGATTACAGTGTCTGTCTCACATTCCCATTGAGATATGCTTTTTCTCGAGCCTCCCAGTCCACATCCCCTGTGTTTTACATCACCGCCGAAAAGCTCACAAAGTTTTTATCTGTTTCATTGTGTCATCAGCGTCCCATCTCACCTCGATCCATCCGTCTCTTTCACTGACTTACCACCTAATCCAATTACTAGTTCTGCACTTTCTTGCCTCCCTCTGCTTGTTTTGATCCAGTTTCAACAATGGCTCTCAATAAAAGACCCTTCCCAGCAGGCCGTGCACATCCATCTGACACTTCCCGTTCGGAATGGGCTACATTTCAAAGAACTCATTGATTGTCGGGATTGATTCTTTTCCAACTTCTAATCACTTCTGTTCGCTCGCTTGACACTGGCAGAATAAGACATCAAGAGACGAGACCTGCTGATGTGCTTATAGATCTTGCTCTCTTTATCTTTCTTATTAGGTGGCTTGTTTTGACTGGTCAGAGAAGGTTTAAAGGTGAGCAGGGGTATTCTATGAATTTCCTTAAAATAAAACACAAATATTGGGCATTAGACACCTTATATTCATTAAAGTGGAACTATTAAACACCTTTTACAAGATGCAAATTAAGTCTCTGATGTCACTAGAGTTTGCAGGTGAATTTTCAGCTCAAAACATGCCACAAATATGTTTTGTATCTCTTTTAAACTCCCCTTTTTAGGCTTTAATCCAAAAATCGTGCCAATCTTGGGGTCTGTTGCTTTAAATTCAAATGAGATTCAAACGTGCATGCTTTAGCATAGAGGCAGATTTACAACAGTACTAATGTTATGTCTGTGAAAAACTGAAAATGTCAAAAGAAGTTAGTTTATGGAGAATACAATTTTCATATGTGCATCCTGAAGCTCCATAATCATAATGCCTCTTAATCACTGATATAATTTTTAGCAGGTGAAAAACTCTATTGGCAGATGGCTGCTTCCCAGTTAGTGCTGTCAATGCTAAGAAGGGAGAGATCATAGATATATACATTACATGTCAGCAACCCTGCTGTTGTCTATTAGAAGAAATGCGTCAACAGAGCCGCCATTTTAGTACAGGGTAGCGCTCCTTTGAAATGAATGCGGAACCAAGGTGCGGTGGAGGACTGTGGCCATCCAGAGCCAGAGATATACACACATATATACATATATCTATGATCGGGAGTTTTCCCAGTTGTCAGTATGCAAATATTTTTTTTTAAATGTTTAAAATTATAATTTTACATCACTTTTCCACATTGATGGATGTGACCGTATGGGCATTGCCGACAAAGAGTGTGTGTTTGTGTGCATGGAAATGTCCTATCCTCCCTCCCTGTTTAATTTTATCTACTCCAAGTCCTGAAACACACCCCCACTCGTGCTTTCACTTCTCATTCTGACGGAGGGAGCGGTTCGTTTTGAATCCCTGTTATGAACGACTCGTTCACTTAGCCGTCAATGATACAAGTTTCTGGCACTACAGCATCTTGTCGTATTTCATAACATTTTTTGCTTATTTTATTCAACAAAACTAGCATAAGCCTGGTATTTAGTGAGAGTTGGTGCTCCCTTGTCTTATGGTGAATGCAGTAAGAGACAGTATTAACATCAATAATGTTACTTGTTAAGCACAAAAGCTCATAACTTATAAAAACGTAAAAAACTAAATCTTACCTATGAAATGTAATACCTTTGTGCTTTGTTTTGCTTTGTTTGCTCATTTCTACACCCGTACACAGCACTAAAGTCCAACATCTTCACATTGGCACACTGTCTTGACCAGTGTGGTTGAATGACATTTGTCCCGGGAGCACTGTACAAATGTGGCGGCGCTGTTGGCGCATACTCAGGGTCCGTATGCGACATCTAGTGTAAATATCTATGGGGAGAGATCATCACTATTGGGCAGGGTTTCCGCCTCTGTTGACATGTACAAAGTGTTTCTGAAGACTGTTTTTATCAAGTGTGATTATACAAAAATGTCATTTTTACCACTATATTCACACACTGTTAACTCACAATTAATCCCTTATGAAGGTAATTTTTGCAAAATAGCTCCGCTATTAATAATGCATTTTCAAAATTGACTTTACTGTCAATAATAGATGAGATTAAAACCTTTAACTGAGCTACACTTGATAATGGAATAAATGTCTTCTGAGATGAATTTACTTCATTATTTATATTTATTTAGCTTATTTTAAATTTAAAAATGTACTTTATTAATTTTGTTACATTTAATGTATGTGAGTCTTATGTTGTTATCATTTATATTATATGCCAAAAAACATATTTATATGATAATAATATTAAATATTAAATAAAGATCATCTTCAATAAAGCAATATAGTGAAATTTCTGCCATGAAGCGCATGCAGGCTGATAGGCCACCTAATCTGCTCCTCTGTCATTAAAGACATGATGCAGAACAGCGTCATTCTACGTTGTTAAGCTGCTGCGTGTTTTCTGAGACCCTTCTCCCCCCCAGCTCCACCTGTGTTGACATACATATACATTACATATACATACATACTGTATATAGTATGTTTGCAGCAGCAGCATGTTATATTCACAGGTCTCGGTACTTCCTCTACCATAATAATCAAAGCAGCAGCAGCGTGGCAGATTTATACAGTCAAGACCAACTACTAAAGCATTGCCATATACTGTACATGTTCACTGCATACTAAATCCCGAGAGTGTTTATGACAGAAGTAAATTTCCTTCTATAAATACATCAGAACTTGATTAGTAATAATCAATATATTTTTGATAATTTTATAATTTTAATGTTATAATAATTTTTGATAGAAATATGCATTGGTTAAACCTTTAAAGGCATCTATATTTATATATATTTGATTTTAAACAATCAAATTCCGGATTCAGATAGTTGTATCTTGACCAAATATTGTCAAATCATAACAAACAACACACATAAAGTCAGCTTTCAGGTGATGTATACATCTCAGTTTCCAAAAACGTCAGCTTATGACTGTTTTCTTTGTGGTCTAAGGTCACATTGGATATAGTTATCCAAGTTCAGTAATTCAAAAAAAAAAAAAAAACATTATGTATAATTTTATCATTTGCATATACAGTCTCTAAAATGTATTCAATTCTGTAATCATGTATTTATATAAATGTATTTCTAATACATACTACAAACAGTTAAAACAATACATACTAATACAATACATAATTAATTACAATTGTAATTTTTAAGATTTTATTGTTTGGTTTTTAGAACTAGAGAGCTGCTTACAACATGAATTTCCTCTTTCAAAAAAATTGCTATAACATTTATTAAAATAACAATAATAATATATATAATATACAAGCTGCGATTTAAAGCTAGCAATTTGAAAGCTGGTTAATGCTGTACTGTTTCGAAATGTATAAAAAACCTTCATTAGTAAATGGTTTGTTGACAACTTTAAAAAACTATACTGGAATTTGTCAAATAATAATATTACTGTCCTTTTAGACCTGCTTTTTTCCCTCACTTTAAACAATTAGTTATTGATTCATTCAATTTCCAGTTCACAACAAGAATATATCAATTAAGCGCTATCAAAATAAAAGATGACTTGACTTGCGTGTTCTAAGTACTTCCAGATTTAATTCAATACAAAGACACCAATTTATTTAACACAAAAACTTCCCCAATTTTTTTTCAAACCTACGAATAAAACAAGTCAAATCTAAAGCATGTGCTGCGATGTGGGCCGGCGTTCCAGCTGTCACTGCAATGGGGCCAGTAGGAGGGCATCCGAGACGGATGGGGCCACGGTGTGAAACGGTTTTGCGACACAGTGTGAAATAAACTGCTGGAATACGAATGGGCAGCGGCAGGCAGACTCACCGCGCAGGAGATCAGAGGTGGAGTGTGGCGAGGCATGGGCGCGAAACAGCTGCCAGTCAAAGTCATCCTCCTCCCCTTGGCTGAACTCACACAGACTGGGGTCCGAGTCCTCATCAAACGTACAGCCCGCTGATGAGGGAAGAAGACAGAGAAAGGAAAAACACATTACATGAAGGAATTTCTCACATTAAAAACCTCAAACTACAGGCCCAAAACACTGTTCATTTTAAGGTGTTTGGCTCTGCCTAAGGTTTCTGTATACTAATATAAATAAGACATTTAAAATACACTCTTGAAGGGACAGTTTAGCCAAAACTAAAAAAATGTGTTATTATTTACTCAACCTTTAACACAAAGGTGTCAAAACCAGTTCCTAAAGGGCCACAGCCCTGCAGTTTAGTTCCAACCCTGCTTCAACACACTTACCTGTAGGTTTCAAACAAGCCTGAAGGACTTGAACTAAGGTTAAGGTTAGAACAAATTGTGCAGATCTCTGGCCCTCCAGGAAGTGGCTTTAACATCTGTGCTTTAACCTGTATAAATTTCTTTCCGCGGTTAAACACAAAAGTAGATATTTTGAAGAATGCTGAAAACCTGTCACCATTGACATCCACGCTTGTTTTTGTTATTTACCATGGAAGTCAATGGTTACAGGTTTTACCATCTTCTTTTGCGTTCAACAGAAGAAAGAAACGTATAATGGTTTGGAAGCACTTGAGGGCGAGAAAATTGTGTGTACTTTTTATTTTTTTGGATGAACTGTCCCTTTAAGTGTTTCTTAAATAGCACAAATTTGTGTCAGTGGATTTATATTTTAATACAGTAAATATTTTTAAAGGCCATATTCTCAAAATGAGTGTTTTTTTCTCTCTTTCTCTGAGCCATACAGTAAATCTCTGCTTGAGCAGCACTTACAAACCTCACATTTGTATTCTGAAGGGTTTTAGACGCAAATGTGCATACATAATTTACCTGATTATATTATATTATAACATTTTACTCTACAAAACCATGAAAATTCCTTCTTTTTCTGGCTAGGTTACGGTTATTATTGGAGTGATAAAAAAAGAGTGTCAAAATCCTTTCTTTTAATAGAAAAAATTAAACAATTGAACCTGACTTAATCCAATGTTAGTTTGTTTTTTCTGATATTAATGTATGCAAATTGGTGTTTTTTTACATACCATATTAGTGTTCATTTACATATTTAAACTTGTAATACATAAATGTTAGCAATACTTAAAGGGAAAGTTCACCCAAAAATGAAAAATGAAAGTTCACCCAAAAAAATAATAAAGGGTTAAAAATCACATGATTTTAAGCCTTCATGGGTTCTTTCTTCTGTTTAACACAAAAGAAGATATTTTGAAGAATGTTGGGACTTCCATAGTAGGACCAAAAATACTACAGAAGTCAATGCATCAAAATATCTTCATATATGTTTAACAAAAGAAAAAAAAACTCGGATAGATTTTGCAAAAGCGATGGGTGAGTAAATGATGGCCGAATTTTCATTTTTGGGTGAACTATCCTTTTAAACTAAGGAAGTCAACTGAGGAAGTGTGGTGATAACAAATAGTTATTTTTTTACCCTATTCACCTGCAGTGTCTTTCCTGCTTCCTGCTTAAGCTGACAAGTCTCTGTACATGAATTATTTAAAGCATCCGGCTGTATATTTAAAAGCCTCCGGGCAATAACATTTCATTTGGACAACATTTGATCTGTAATTTGTTGACACTAAAAAGTGCATTACAATACAACTCGTCAGTCGTCTCGGGAGGTTAATATGGCTGCAGGCGGGCGTATTAGGACCCCCTGGTTCGCCAGCCTAATTAAGCAGCCGTGTGTTGTTTGGGTCTCTGTTTCATCATGTGAGCCCCTGTGATCTCAATTCTGTTCAGCAGAGTGAAAGGTGCCAGACTGAACAACACCCACATGTATCCCGGGCACTGGCTCTTCAGCCTGACAGTGAAGCATTCAAGGCACACAGCACTGACAATAATAGACATATAACCCATCACCTCTGCCAATCAATTATCATTTGAGGATTTACTTATACAACACAAGCAGAACTCCTGTGAAAGATCAATATTTCTGCAGGGACCAAGTAAATGGCTTTATGCTGATGATACACAGGTCAACTTTTTGAGCAATGTTGCCAGGTAATTTTGACAAGCGATACTGCTTGGCTACTTTTTTATTTTGAATGGGCAAGAGTATTGTATCTGTAACCGATTGGCGTAGTTACCCCATGTGTTACCTGGTAGCTGTTTTATGCCATCATTTCCCAAAGATAACTGCATCTGATTAATAGTTGCAATGCTGTCAGCCTTGCCAATATTATTTACAGTAAACAATACAATATTTTTATTAATATTTTTATTATATATATTTGACTTTAATGAGGATGATGATTATTATTACTAACTGTTGTAAATATGTATTCTTTGTTTTATTATTATTATTATTATTATTATTATTATTATTATTATTACTAATTAACTGGCAGCACAGTCAGTAAAAAATATAATAATAATAATAATAATAATATGTATTATTATTATTATTATTATTATTATTATTATTATTATTATAAAGTACAATAGGAGTTATTATTTCTATTATTGGTGTTGTTTTGCTGTTGTTGTTGTTGTTGTTGTTGTTGTTATTATTATTATTGTTGTTATTATTATTAATAGTAGTATTAGTAGTAGTAGTAGTACAATAGGAATTGTTTTTCTAATACTATTATAATTATTATTGTTGTTATTATTATTATTATTATTGTTATTATTATTATACATGTAATTGGACATGAAACAGTAGGTTATTAATATTATTATTATTAATAGTAGTAGCAGTAGTACTAGTAGTAGTAGTATTAATATCATAAGACTAAATATAATTGGATATAAAACAATAGAAATGTTAGTTAATAATAATAATAATAATAATAATTATTATTATTATTATTATTATTATTATTATTATTATCATTATTAAATTATTACTGTATAAATAAACACTGATCATGTCTCATAATTTGTATCTCTATATATTATTATTTCCAGTAATCCTACCACCGTCTCTTTTTATTTTTGCCACGTTAAAAATCCCATATCAGCTCCAACACACGAAGTCCCATTCTAATAATACTCATACACACAGTTCATGGGAGTTCAGTAATGTCATGTCAGGCTTTGAACATGGGGGTCAAGTAATACTTTAAGCTTCCTATAACTATTCCAAACTATTATTTTAATCCTTCAGGGACTTCCTAAACTCAGCCTACAACTGATTTTGGCTTCCCATTACATTTAATACAGCAACACATTCCTGACCTCAGGGGCAGCAGCTTAATGTGCCACAGCCTGAGCACCTCACCACATCTGCTGTGGTCTCGAACATTAGCCTTGTAGGGTGAGAATGAGCGGGCAGCGCCGGCGGGACACAAATCCCAGTCACATGCTGCTGACTTCAGCCATCGCGCAGTAGACGGGCAGAGGAACCATGCTGGCAAAGACTTTGACATTAACTATGACATCAAGGTGACCCTTATAGCTGAACGCCTCATTACTGCCACCTCTGGGCTTGTTTGACAATGGACGAACAAGGGCACTTTGATTTCTGACTAAAACAATAAAATAGCTGCCGGGATGTCATATATGGAATAGATGTCATTTCAAAATGATTGTGCTTAAAGATTTTAAATACTGTACACTGTAAACTGTACACTGTAAAAAATCTTGCTGCCTTAAATTGTTCATTCATTCATTCATTCATTCATTCACTCATTTTCCTTTGGCTTAGTCCTTTATTTATCAGAATTCCCCACAGCAGAATGAACCTCCAACTAATCCAGCTTATGCTTTATGCAAAGGAGGCCCTTCCAGCCCAACACAGTACTGGGAAACACCCATACACTCTCTTATTCACACACACTACAACAAATTTAGTTTATTCAGTTCACCCATACCACGTCTTTGCATTGTGTGGGAAAGTAGCAAAAGTATTAAAAAATTATCTTAAATGTAAATAATTTCATTGTAATAGAAAATATGCTCTTTCAATAATTGAGAATGAAATCGATTATTTCTGAATGTCGATTTTGATTACTTTTCAATTAATCGCCCAGCCCAAACTTACATTGGTCAAACTGACTAAAAATATTAAGTTAAACCTTGTTTAATTGCAAAAAATAACATGAAACCTGATTAACTTATTAAAAAAAGTTACAGTAGCATTAAAAAAACAGTTGTCAGGACTTTGTTACATAATTTTTTACAGTGTATTTTAAAAAAAAATAATTTAGAAAGGATTCTTTAGACTGATTAAAAGTAAGATAGTTTTTAAAGTAACAAAGATATTTTAGTCAACAATAATAGCATAATTTTGGCAAAGAAAGTTAGTTTGCAACAAAACAGTCAGTATAACAGTATAACATATTCACTATACTGTGTTTTTTCTGTTTCACCAGGGAAAATAATTTCAAATCTCGAAGCTAAACTGCAGTGTTTTAGGCCCTGTCCACATGAATAAGACAGGACCGCAATCCACCTGTTTTCACATTTGCCTTGACTTTTATGTAATTGTAATATACTGTAGTTCAAACTCACGAATCAAGGGATGGAGGAGGCAGAAAAACTGGCAAACGTTCAATATTTTAATAAATAAATACACACAAAAACAGGCAGCCAAAGTCCTTAAAACTCCTGTCGTGGGACTCAGACAGGTGGCACCACAGGTGGTGTTCATCAGAGCTTGCATCATGTATTTATGTAATTGTACCTGCACAAATACTTTATTTCATGTTTGGTGTGAACCTAACGTAAAAGCCTTTTATCGCCACCTGTTGGTTTGGAGTGCCTTTAACATTCATCACAGTTTAAAAAACCCATGTACAGAACATGTGGACATAGTGTTAATCTGTATTGGAACAAACAGAACGAGGCAATGATTCAATGATCTGTTCATGAAGACATCCATGTGCTTTTTTCTAAACAAAAATAATTGTTAATGTCTGAATGCGTCAATACATTTATTTGACTGTGTGTATGTTTTAAATGGTAACATTTGCTTATTTTCTTTCTCTTTTGTGTTTAAATATCATCCTGTCCTGTCCACAAAT